ACCCATTACAGTCACTCCCCCATCCTCCCAGCCTCTCAAACCCCCCAAGCTGAGGCAACCACTCATCTACTCTGTCTCTACAGATTTGCCTATTCCAGACATTGCAGACAAATGGAATCATGTAATTCCAACTGTGGTCCTTTGTGTCTGGCTTCTTTCATTTAACTTGGTGTTTTCAAGGGTCATCTGTGCTGCAGCAAGTATCAACCCTTTGCTTCTTTGCACTGCTGAATGATATCCCATTCTGTGGGTACACCACATTTTGTTTATCCATTCATTCATTGATGGATATTTGGGTGGTTTACACCTTTTGGCTGTTATGAATAATGCTCTTATGAAAATTTGCATAAAATATCTTTTACACATTTGCATGGACATATGTTTTCATTTCTGTATTATTTCTTACAACTGCATGTGAATATGTAATTATCTCAAAATAAAAATGTTTAATTATGAAAATAAGAAACAACCTGTGTGCATGGGGAAATCCTGGGTCATCTCTCCCCTATTTCATAGCCTATACATTGATGTTACCATACTTTATAATAAAATTAAGTATTTAAAAATAAGAGTGGCTCTTTGAGTGCTCTCAACTGAGCTAAGAGCTAGCCTGTATCATCTCCTTCACTCCTTACACCATTCCTGCATACCAGGTTCTATTGTTAACTCCATTTCAAATAAAACATTATCAGCAAATCTATTCAAATGATGAATTTTCACAAGATTTTTACCTTCTTTAAAATAGTGTAAACAGAAAGTAACACTCTGGACAGGACAGTTGCATATTTTCCAATGCCCTCTTCTCTCTTCTAAACCTTAGATTCTTCCAGGTACCACCTGGATACATGCCAAATAAAAATTCTCTAAAATTGGTATGAACTTTAAGCACATGGCTTAGTGGAAGCCCATGAACAGGAAAGGGTGAGAAAGGGCAGGAGGATCTAGTGTATCTGAAATTGGAAGCAAAGAGGTTGTCTCAGTCCCAGAAAGGTCCAATGTGCTTGAGCTCCAGGGGACAATTTCAGGACAGGGTTGAGCCTCTCCCGATGGCACTGTGCTGGGCAGGTCTACTCAGGCATGTGCCCCCTGCTGCTACCTTCCTCTTGGCTTCCACTGGCTTACACGCTCCTCATGAGCTGGGCTGGCAAATGGCACCCATGGCAGCACCGTCGTGGAGCTGGTTCCCATTCTACTTGCTAACAGCCCTCAAGAAAATTTTAAGAAAATACAAGAGGACTACCGTGATCTCTTCCCCCTCAGTGATAACTTCCCAGAGCAGTGGATCTGACCTCTTGGGTGAAAAGAGCACACAGTGTGATGCTTTTGTCCTGACCTCACAGTTGGACGAAGGAGATGGGAAGCATACTCCACACCATCACTTCACACATGTGGCCGCTGCCTTGGAGCAGACAAGTACACCCCAGCTCGGCTCCCTCTACTTTTCTCTGCATTATGATATGCGATTTCTTTTCCTGGCAAATCTCCATAGGAAGGTCTAACTGGATTATCTACAGTTTGGAATCATGACTAAAGTTGGGAAAACTCCATTGAAATACAGCTGCCAGTGACTATAGTCAAACACAGTAAAATGAAAATAATGATAAAAATAGAGAGCACAGAGCTAGGCTCTCCAGGAAACATCTCAGGTGCATCGTCCCATTCCTCCTTTCAGCAGCTGATGAGAGGGTTGTTTGCCCACTTTCCTGATGAGGAAACTGAGGCTAGGGAGGCCAAACTAACTTGTGGATCGTTGAGCGAGTGAGAGAGTCCAGTTCTCTGGGCTGCCTGGCAGCTGGCATCCTCACCACCTTGAAGGACTTCGGGCTATTTGCTTATCTGATTCTCAGGGTCCTCATTTATCAAGTGATGACTAGAATTCCTCTTATAGTGTAATTGCAGTGAGTATAAGAGGTAACTGATGAAAATGAGCCTGGGGGGTGGGGGGTGGGGGCAGTGACACTATAGCTGAGACAGTCCTTTCTCCCTCCCCCCATTCTCCTTCCTCCCCCTCCACACTTGTCATCGTCTCCCCTCTCAGGGTCAGGGGCAATGCAGAGAAGAGCGAGCAGGCAGATGGACTGACAGACCTAGAGGACAAGGCAAGGTCACAATGAATGTGTACTTGCCGGCCAATCCTCTCAATGAGGAGACAAGGCTGGAATGGGGAGGCCAGGGAGGGAGGGCAGAGTCCCTGGCTCCCAGAGTGAGCCTGTGGGGCTGGAGTAGACATGTTTAGGGGAGTGTGGGAGGGACACAGGGACAACTGCAGCTTCTCAGAGAAGCTACAACTTCTAAGGGGGAAGAGAATTCAACATGAGCACAGCACGCTGAAACCACTTGGGGAAGTTCTTTTGGATCACAGCGTAATTACACAGGCTTAAAAATATCCCCACAGATTATCAATTAGCTACAAAAGGGAATTAAAAGTAATACTTACAGTGGGAAAATCTGGGGACTTCCTTAAAATCAAACAAACATCAGCAATAATGGGACCGGTGAATATTTCGTGCCTCCCATGGATGCACTGGGGACCCAGCATTGCTTTATACTTAGATGCTATTTGTGCACAAGGGCATACTCTGAGCCAAATCACAGGAAACATCAGGGAAATCCAAGTGAGGGACATTCTACAAAACAACTGACCTGTGTCCTACAAAATGCTGGCATTGTAAAAGGTGAAGATGGGCCAAGGAATAGTTCCTGATTCAAGGAGACTAAAGATGTATTTGGCAAATACATGATCCCAGAGAGTTGTGAGGTCATGACTAGGAAAATGAGGGTCTATACTAGATGATACTATGTATCAACATTTAATTTCCTGAATGTGATCATTGTATTATATAAGATAACAGCCCTGCTCTTAGGAGACATATGTATTTAAGGTGCCTTAGGAGCCTTAAGCATTTAAGGGTGAAAAGTCGTCACATCTGCATTTACTCTCAAGTGGCTCAACAAAATAACAATATATACATGTGTATGTGTGTGTGTATGTATAAAAAGATAAACCATATATAGAAAACTATCAATTAGTGAATGTAGGGGAAAGGTATACAGTGTTTATTATACTGTTCCTGTCCCTAGTCTGTAGATTTGAAAAAATATATTAGAAAATAAATGTAAGTATATTGGGGGAAGAAAAAAGGGATCTTTTTTTCAATGAGCAGATAATAGCTCGATGGTTCCTCAAAAAGTTAAACATAGAATTTCAATATGATCTAGCAATTCCACTCCTAAAATAATGTATATGACCCAAGACAAATGAAAACTTTTGTCCTCATAATGATTTGTACATGAATGGTCGTAGCAGCATCATTCACAATTGTCAAAGGTGGAAACAACCCAACTGACCATTAACTGATGAACAAGTAAACAAACTGTGGCACAGCCATAGAACAGATGTGATTCAGCCACGAAGAAGAATGAAACTCTGACACCCGCTACCACATGGATGAATCTTGCAGGCACTACACTCAGTGAAATAAGCCAGACGTAACAGGACAGACAAGGTATGATTCCCCTAAGCATAGCCACATTCACAGAGACAGACGTCAAATGGTGGGTGCCGGGGGTTGAGGGGGAGGAATGGGGAGTTGGCTGCTCAGTGGGCACAGGGGTTCCTTCTGGGGTGATGACAATGGCTTGGACCTAGAATGAGGAGCTGGTTTCACAGCAATGTGAATATAATAAATGTCACTAAATTGTTCACTTTAAAATGACTGATCTTATGTTACATGAATTTTTCTTCAATAAAAAAGAAAAGAGCAGAGAGAGAAAAGAAGGAGGAGGGTATCATGACACAGGCAGCAGCGTGTGAATGGTAAGAGGCCACACTGAGAGCAAGCACTCGCACCGGCGAATCTGCCGACGGGAATGGAAAGAGAGCTGATAGGCATTCTGACTAGTTCTGAAATCCGCCGACCAAAATGGAGAATGTGAGGCTGTACTGATTATAGCTGTTGACCTGAATTCCGTAAAAACGTTCACAAAGGCTTACAGTGCAGTAAGGGTTAACTGCCTGCTGGGTCAGGATGTGCCATATTGAAAGGACACCGGCTGAAGCAGCACCAACAGGAGAAAGTGGGCAAAGCTGTGATCCCAGGGGCAAAAATTTTAGAGGAAACATCTCTGCCTCATAGACCCCTAGACAGGGAAGTGCAATGACCATGTGGCTTCAGGGGCTGTAGAGTCTTCAGTTCCCACTCAGCTGGATGCACACAGTTTTTGTAAGCTGGGTAAGACCCCCCCACCTTCCTGCTCCTTAGAAATCATGTTTGCTCTCACTCACACAAAGCTGGCACAGAAAAAATGATTCGGGAAAATATGTATGACCTAATATGCTATCTTTTCCAGAAGTCACTGCATTTTCAATTAGATCATACAGAGAACATGATTTTTTCTTTAAAAAGGTTTTTAAAACTTGTTATCACAAAAGAAAAGGAAATTCACATTCACTGTAAAAACTTTCAGAAAGACAGATGGGCAGAAAGAATTCCCTGGAGAAAGTCATTGCCATAATTTTGGGGTGACTCTTGCCAGCCTGAGAAGGCAGTACTTAATGGTAAGGGGTGATTCATTAAGGATGGCACTGAAAATTTTTGGAAACTTCCTGGGTGAGAAATTACAGTAAATGTGAGGCTTCCTATTAAGCCTATGAGCAAGGATGGTCCTAAACCCAAGTGTATTTTTCCCTGAGATGGAAGTAAATGTCCCTCACTTAAAATACAGACCAGAGAGTCTAGCAATGAAGGAATCAAGAAAAAGTAGGCAGAAAAATTGGGATACATACCTGCTACCGGCGTCCGCATGAACGTTCATTCTAAAGGAGATTACTAAGTCAGAGGAAGAGTCTCATCAAGTAATTGGTGGACAGAGAGACACAAAGGAAATAGCTTCTGATACAGGTTAGCATTTGGCTGAGAAAACAAACAGATATCAACTTGAGCCCTTATTTCTCCTGTTGTCACATCTGGAGTGGACTGGCTGTAGAGCCACACACTCACCCATCCAGACTTCCCCAAACTGTCCAGCACCCAGCCTCTTCACCAACTTAATGGACTCCCACGGGATCTCCCAGGCATCTTTATCCCATGGCTTTTGTGGTTTGGGACTGATACATGCCTTCTCCAGTCTTCTGCACAAAGCATCCGACTGCTCTAATTTGAAAGAGAAGAGAAAGGACAAAAAAGTCATACTTTTATGTTTTCCCGGTATCTTTGAGGAAGTTTCGACTATTAGTCTTATAATTTCCAACTTGCCAGAGTCTATGAACTCAAATGCTTATGGGGTTATCTTTTGTATAGTCATGACTTTGAAAGTCTTAAGTGAAAGACAATTTAAAACATACTTGATTTTATTCATTAGCATTGCTAATCTATTTAAAACAAACAACACCAGTAGATAAAAGCTGACATGTTGTCACACTTAGTGAAATGTATTTTAGATTACTGAGCCCATGTAAGCACCTCAGGGCACAAAAGTGTGGACTTGGTGATGTCACCAGAGACCCTCCAGCCCAGGAAGGCCAGAGAACAGTAAACACTCACCACACATGCTCTAAGTGAACAGAGATGACAGAGAGGGAGGGAGGATGCCACAAAATCTGAGGTATATTGCTCTTTCAATATTTTAGGGTCTAAGCAAACTTGTAAGGGTGTATTCTCTTGGAGCAGGCTGTAGCTGTAAGCAGTAACAACTGCCCACTGCAACCAACTTTAATCACACTGGGAATGAACTGAACGGCTGGTCACAGGCCCAGCTTAACAGGCTGGTGGGTGGCACTGGAAATGGACCATTGACTTGCCACTTCTAAATATTTTGTTTTTGTTGTTATTTCTGTTTTCTTTTACCAAGAGTATGTATTACTTTTACACACACACACAGAGATACGCAAATCTGTATTCCTATTCCAGATGTTTAAGATGTGTTGTAAAAACACATGTGATGTTAAAACAGAATTCATTTTTCTCTTCATAGCATTGGAGCATTAACTGTCCAGCAGCAAGGACAGAGTGGGAAGGACTGGAATATGTATTCACAATGATCAAATCTGACTTTGTAAATTTCAGTGTACATTAACTTGGAATTAATTTAGAGTATGATCCTTTGGTTTTTATGGTAAAGAAATGTGGCCTATAAAAAAGTTTAATGTCAGAAAGTGTTTGATATAATATATTTTCATAGTAAGTATTATGTTTTGTCCAGTCCTCAGTATTTACTTACTCTGGTAATGCTTAATGTGATTCATGGAGAGATGTAATAACCCCCATTGTCCAGACTTCTAATTTTGTAGTGCTTAATGACATCACCGTGCACAGGGTCATAATCTCTGACAGATAGAGAATAGCTTCCTGTGGGGGGAAAATACAAGTAAAGATCACGCTTGTATTTATAAATAAGATCTGGATTGTACAACATTGCAGTACACATTTGGCCATAAAAATGTATAAAATATAAATTACGTATACAGTCTATAATTTTAAAAGTCCTATAAAAAGTCTACTTGAGGGAGCCAGGATGGCGGCGTGAGTAGAGCAGTGGAAATCTCCTCCCAAAAACACACAGAGCTATGAAAATATACCAAAGAAAAATCTTCCTAAAATNTAAAAAATGGAAGAAAAAGCAAGTGTTGGCGAGGATGTGGAGAAAAGGGATCCCTCATGTAAAGGGAATGCAAACTGGCGCAGTCACTATGGAAAGATGTATGGAGGTTCTCAGAAAACTAAAAATAGAAATACTGTATGACCCAACAATATTTCACTTCTTGTATTTACCCAAAGAAAACAAAATCCTTAATACAAAAAGATACATGCACCGTATGATTACTGCAGTATTATTTACAATAGCCAAGGTATGGAAGCAACCCAAGTGTTCATCAATAGATGAATGGATGAATAAGAAGCGGTACATACACACAATGGAATATTACTCAACCACAAAAAGAATGAAATCTTGCCATTTGCAACACCATGGATGCCCTTAAAGGATATTATGCTAAGTAAGTCAGACAGAAAAAGACAAATACCATATGTTTCACTTATATGTGGAATCAAAAAAATGAATCAAATAAAAAAACAAAACAGACTCATAAGTGCAGAGAACAAACTAGTACTTGACATAAAGGATGAATATAATAGGCAAAGAGGATAAAGAGGTACAAACTTCCATGAAAAGTACAGCAAAGGGAGTATAATCAGTAATATTGTAATAACTTTGTATGGGGACAGATGGTAACTACACTTATCATGGTGAGGATTTAGCAATGTATTTAATTGTAGAATTACTATGGTGTACACCTGAAATCAACACAAGATTGTATTATCAACAACACTTCAATTAAAAAAAGGTTTTGTTAAAAATGTGATGACAAGTTTATAAATAGATCCTCAACGACATGAATATTATTAGCAGCAAAGCAGAGCAAGAAAACGTACTCTTTGATACATGTAACTGACAAAGAAACAGTGTCCGGAATATATAAAGAATTACTACAAATCAATAAGAGAAACAGAAAAATAGATGGGAATTTCAAAAAATAAATCCAAATGACAAACAATATGTGAAAGGAACTTGACCTCATAGTAATCAGAGACATGCAAATAAGGCTGTAGGGAGAAACTACCACCCAGCTTGAAAACAATTACATAGTCTGACAGTACAACTGCAGGTGAACATGTGCCCCCTTGGTAGAGAAACTGGGGTGGTGTTCTTTTCTGAGCAATATCCCGGGGACCCACGAAGAATGTTGACAGAGCAGCCTCCTTGCATGTGCAATAAGCTTGAGTGACAGCAGACACACACACGGGCTGTGCTGACCCGGGACCCACATCCTTCCAGGTACAACTCTGGCGGTCAGGAAGTGGGATGCTGAGAACTTCCGTACTTCGCTGCTCAGAGTCTGAACTGGGACAAGCACTTTGGAAACTTGTTGGCACTATTAAGTAGAGTTGAGATTCCTATTTTTATGATCCAGCAAATCCACTCCTGGTCAACCTAGGGAAACATGTGCCCTTAAACCAGCACAAAAACGTTCACAGTGGCATTGCCCATAGTAGTCAAAACCTGGGAATAACTCCAATACCATCAATGAATAGTGAAATCAATGGATAAACTCTTCGCATCTTGAATACAAACATAGCACACACTGCTATGGAGCAATGAAGGTGAATGAACAGCAACTACACCCCAAAGCATGGATGAATCTCACAAATGCAACATTGAATCAAAAAGGGAGGACATAGTAAAGGAGTTCATTTGGTACAATTCATTTATGCAATGTTTAAAAATAGACAAAACTAAACTAGAGTGTCTGCTGGTGCATATCCCCATCTACACAAGTAGTAGAAGTATAAAAAAAAGCCAGGAAATTATTACAAAAGTCAGAATAGTAGTTGCCTTTGTGGTTAGTAAGGGGTAAGTGGAAGCTTCTGGGTGCTGGCAAGCTTCCAGTGTGTGATCTCAGGGGTCTCCACACAGGTTTTCATTTTGTAAGTATTTATGATATTGAATATTTGTGTCTTACAACCTTTTCTTTTTGCTTGTTGTTACAGAGCAATAAAACAGAAAGAAACAAAATGATTCCCCTTTTCTCATCATAAAAGCAATGGAACTTATTGAGACTTTTACATAATATAAAATTATGGTAAAGGATGAAGAAGAAAACAATGCTTTCCAAGTGTAGGGGGGAAAGTCATCAGGAAATCTACTACAGCTGCTAAAGATATAAAAAAAGCTGATAAGGAGTTCAAATGAACAGTGAATAAAACAGCTGTGTAGGACACAGCTGAAGAATGGCACCAGCTTTTTTTAGGGCTGTGGCACTTAAACAACAGGGCAGGTTTTCATCTTGCACTAAAGGCATGATTTTTATTCAGCACTAAGTATCAAATTGTACTTTATGAAGATACATTCTGTAGTGTGAAGATTCAGTTAACCTAACCAGGGGGTTTATGTTGACATTACAGAGGGAAATGATCTTTTAAAATAAATCTTTGGAAAGTAGTAAAGAATTTTTTGTGGAGTGCTACTTGCCACATTTCAGGGAAGCCAGTGTAACAATTTGAGAAAGTTCCAAGTCCAGGTATGACTAATGCTAGAAGTGTGTGAGTATCATAAGGGAGGTGGTCTTTAAAGAAGATGCATGTAGTTAATTTGGGAAGTTGGCTGGTGATGAATTTCAATGCAGTTGGCTCAAATGAAAATTTACCATGCAAAACTCAATTCCAAACAAGTTTCCCTTCTTCCACAAACTCTTTTCACAGACCAAGAGGTAACAGGAAACACCATCCTTAGCTTCACTGATCAGTGAGTTCCCTTGGAATCCAACAATCCACAGAGGAAAACATGTCACCAAACCAGATGTCAGGAGGATCACGTGGGCAAGAGGAAACAGTTTGAGGGAGGAATTCCTCTTTCTTTCACCCTCTCCCTTCTCCCACCCAGAAGAGGTCACTTCCTAGTATTTATTCACTGTATTTCAGAACAAAAAATTCAGACTATAGAATGGGACTGGTAGTCTATGAACCATTCCTCATGCTTTGCAAAAATACTTAGTTAACTGACATAATTTGTAATGTGTTTTTCTTTGTCTACCCATGAGAAAAGCTAGCCTGCTGTCCCTTGAGAAACCAAAACTAAATTCTGGCAGCTCGAAGGTGCAAACCTTGGGTCCTACCAGCCCCAGAACAGTCAGAATGAGAAGCACAAACACATGGGCGAGGTGCCAGCCCTTGACCGCTGATACATTATTCTTTTGGTTTTATTCCCAGTATTTCTCTGCTAAATGCATTCAATGTATTGATGTTATTTCCATAGCTAAGGGGATGCTCCCTGCCTGACAGCCAAATTCACAGAACCTATCCACAAAAGATCCCAGATCAAAATTTTCTATTATTTCTTTTCTCTTCTTTCTTTCCCTCCCTTTCTTCTTTCCTTTCTTTAATATAAGACTAGAAGGAGAAAAACACAATAAAAAAAACTATCAATTTCAAAATCCTGGCAATGATACTATGCTATAGCTTTGCAAGAAGTTACTATTGGGAGAAACTGGGTAAAGGTTCCATCTCTTTGTATTATTTATTTTATATATATGATAGCTTTACTGAACTATAAGTCAAATGCCATGCCACCTACCCAATTAAACTATGTATTCATTGGTTTTTGTATATTCAGAGTTGTGGGACCATCACCACAATCATTGGGACATTTTCTTCACCCCCAAAAGAAGTCCTGTACCCATTACAGTCACTCCCCCATCCTCCCAGCCTCTCAAACCCCCCAAGCTGAGGCAACCACTCATCTACTCTGTCTCTACAGATTTGCCTATTCCAGACATTGCAGACAAATGGAATCATGTAATTCCAACTGTGTCCTTTGTGTCTGGCTTCTTTCATTTAACTTGGTGTTTTCAAGGTTCATCTGTGCTGTAGCAAGTGTCAACCCTTTGCTTCTTTGCACTGCCGAATGATATCCCATTCTGTGGGTACACCACATTTTGTTTATCCATTCATTCACTGATGGATATTTGGGTGGTTTACACCTTTTGGCTGTTATGAATAATGCTCTTATGAAAATTTGCATAAAATTTCTTTTACACATTTGCATGGACATATGTTTTCATTTCTGTATTATTTCTTACAACTGCATGTGAATATGTAATTATCTCAAAATAAAAAAGTTTAATTATGAAAATAAGAAACAACCTGTGTGCATGGGGAAATCCTGGGTCATCTCTCCCCTATTTCATAGCCTATACATTGATGTTATCATACTTTATAATAAAATTAAGTATTTAAAAATAAGAGTGGCTCTTTGAGTGCTCTCAACTGAGCTAAGAGCTAGCCTGTATCATCTCCTTCACTCCTTACACCATTCCTGCAAACCAGGTTCTATTGTTAACTCCATTTCAAATAAAACATTATCAGCAAATCTATTCAAATGATGAATTTTCACAAGATTTTTACCTTCTTTAAAATAGTGTAAACAGAAAGTAACACTCTGGACAGGACAGTTGCATATTTTCCAATGCCCTCTTCTCTCTTCTAAACCTTAGATTCTTCCAGGTACCACCTGGATACATGCCAAATAAAAATTCTCTAAAATTGGTGTGAACTTTAAGCACATGGCTCAGTGGAAGCCCATGAACAGGAAAGGGTGAGAAAGGGCAGGAGGATCTAGTGTATCTGAAATTGGAAGCAAAGAGGTTGTCTCAGTCCCAGAAAGGTCCAATGTGCTTGAGCTCCAGGGGACAAATTTCAGGACAGGGTTGAGCCTCTCGCGATGGCACCGTGCTGGGCAGGTCTACTCAGGCATGTGCCCCCTGCTGCTACCTTCCTCTTGGCTTCCACTGGCTTCCACGCTCCTCATGAGCTGGGCTGGCAAATGGCCGCACCGTCGTGGAGCTGGTTCCCATTCTACTTGCTAACAGCCCTCAAGAAAATTTTAAGAAAATACAAGAGGACTACTGTGATCTCTTCCCCCCTCAGTGATAACTTCCCAGAGCAGCAGATCTGACCTCTTGGGTGAAAAGAGCACACAGTGTGATGCTTTTGTCCTGACCTCACAGTTGGACGAAGGAGACGGGAAGCATACTCCACACCATCACTTCACACATGTGGCCGCTGCCTTGGAGCAGACAAGTACACCCCAGCTCAGCTCCCTCTACTTTTCTCTGCATTATGGTATGCGATTTCTTTTCCTGGCAAATCTCCATAGGAAGGTCTAACTGGATTATCTACAGTTTGGAATCATGACTAAAGTTGAGAAAACTCCATTGAAATACAGCTGCCAATGACTATAGTCAAACACAGTAAAATGAAAATAATGATAAAAATAGAGAGCACAGAGCTAGGCTCTCCAGGAAACATCTCAGGTGCATCGTCCCATTCCTCCTTTCAGCAGCTGATGAGAGGGTTGTTTGCCCACTTTCCTGATGAGGAAACTGAGGCTAGGGAGGCCAAACTAACTTGCAGATTGTTGAGTGAGTGAGAGAGTCCAGTTCTCTGGGCTGCCTGGCAGCTGGCATCCTCACCGCCTTGAAGGACTTCGGGCAAGTTGCTTATCTGATTCTCAGGGTCCTCATTTATCAAGTGATGACTAGAATTCCTCTTACAGTGTAATTGCAGTGAGTATAAGAGGTAACTGATGAAAATGAGCCTGGGGGGTGGGGGGTGGGGGCAGTGACACTATAGCTGAGACAGTCCTTTCTCCCTCCCCCATTCTCCTTCCTCCCCCTCCACACTTGTCATCGTCTCCCCTCTCAGGGTCAGGGGCAATGCAGAGAAGAGTGAGCAGGCAGATGGCCTGAGAGACCTAGAGGACAAAGCAAGGTCACAATGAACGTGTACTTGCCGGCCAATCTTCTCAATGAGGAGACAAGGCTGGAACGGGGAGGCCAGAGAGGGAGGGCAGAGTCCCTGGCTCCCAGAGTGAGCCCGTGGGGCCGGAGTAGACATGTTTAGGGGAGTGTGGGAGGGACACAGGGACAACTGCAGCTTCTCAGAGAAGCTGCAACTTCTAAGGGGGAAGAGAATTCAACATGAGCACAGCACGCTGAAACCACTTGGGGAAGTTCTTTTGGATCACAGCGTAATTACACAGGCTTGAAAATATCCCCACAGATTATCAATTAGCTACAAAAGGGAATTAAAAGTAATACTTACAGTGGGAAAATCTGGTGGACTTCCTTAAAATCAAACAAACATCAGCAATAATGGGACCGGCGAATATTTCGTGCCTCCCATGGATGCACTGGGGACCCAGCATTGCTTTATACTTAGATGCTATTTGTGCACAAGGGCATACTCTGAGCCAAATCACAAGAAACATCAGGAAAATCCAAGTGAGGGACATTCTACAAAACAACTGACCTGTGTCCTACAAAATGCTGTCATCGTAAAAGGTGAAGATGGGCCAAGGAATAGTTCCTTATTCAAGGAGACTAAAGATGTATTTGGCAAATACATGATCCCAGAGAGTTGTGAGGTCATGACTAGGAAAATGAGGGTCTACACTAGATGATACTATGTATCAACATTTAATTTCCTGAATGTGATCATTGTATTATATAAGATAACAGCCCTGCTCTTAGGAGACACATGTATTTAGGAGCCTTAAGCATTTAAGGGTGAAAAGTCGTCACATCTGCATTTACTCTCAAGTGGCTCAACAAAATAACAATATATACATGTGTATGTGTGTGTGTATGTATAAAAAAGATAAACCATATATAGAAAACTATCAATTAGTGAATGTAGGGGAAAGGTATACACTGTTTATTATACTGTTCCTGTCCCTAGTCTGTAGATTTGAAAAAATATATTAGAAAATAAATGTAAGTATATTGGGGGAAGAAAAAAGGGATCATTTTTTTTTAATGAGCAGATAATAGCTCGATGGTTCCTCAAAAAGTTAAACATAGAATTTCAATATGATCTAGCAATTCCACTCCTAAAATAATGTATATGACCCAAGACAAATGAAAACTTTTGTCTTCATAATGATTTGTACATGAATGGTCGTAGCAGCATCATTCACAATTGTCAAAGGTGGAAACAACCCAACTGCCCATCAACTGATGAACAAGTAAACAAACTGTGGCACAGCCATAGAACAGATGTGATTCAGCCATGAAGAAGAATGAAACTCTGACACCCGCTACCACATGGATGAACCTTGCAGGCACTACACTCAGTGAAATAAGCCAGACGTAACAGGACAGACAAGGTATGATTCCCCTAAGCATAGCCACATTCACAGAGACAGACGTCAAATGGTGGGTGACGGGGGTTGAGGGGGAGGAATGGGGAGTTGGCCGCTCAGTGGGCACAGGGGTTCCTTCTGGGGTGATGACAATGGCTTGGACCTAGAATGAGGAGCTGGTTTCACAGCAATGTGAATATAATAAATGTCACTAAATTGTTCACTTTAAAATGACTGATCTTATGTTACATGAATTTTTCTTCAATAAAAAAGAAAAGAGCAGAGAGAGAAAAGAAGGAGGAGGGTATCATGACACAGGCAGCAGTGTGTGAATGGGAAGAGGCCACACTGAGAGCGAGCACTCGCACCGGCGAATCTGCCGACGGGAATGGAAAGAGAGCTGATAGGCATTCTGACTAGTTCTGAAATCCGCCGACCAAAATGGAGAATGTGAGGTTGTATTGATTATAGCTGTTGACCTGAATTCCGTAAAAACGTTCACAGAGGCTTACAGTGCAGTAAGGGTTAACTGCCTGCTGGGTCAGGATGTGCCATATTGAAAGGACACCGGCTGAAGCAGCACCAACAGGAGAAAGTGGGCAAAGCTGTGATCCCAGGGGCAAAGATTTTAGAGGAAACATCTCTGCCTCATAGACCCCTAGACGGGGAAGTGCAATGACCATGTGGCTTCAGGGGCTGCAGAGTCTTCAGTTCCCACTCAGCTGGATGCACAGAGTTTTTGTAAGCCGGGTACCACCCCCCAACCTTCCTGCTCCTTAGAAATCATGTTTGCTCTCACTCACACAAAGCTGGCACAGAAAAAATGATTCGGGAAGATATGTTTGACGTAATATGCTATCTTTTCCAGAAGTCACTGCATTTTCAATTAGATCATGCAGAGAACATGATTTTTTCTTAAAAAAGGTTTTTAAAACTTGTTATCACAAAAGAAAAGGAAATTCACATTCACTGTAAAAACTTTCAGAAAGACAGATGGGCAGAAAGAATCCCCTGGAGAAAGTTATTGCCATAATTTTGGGGTGACTCTTGCCAGCCTGAGAAGGCAGTACTTAATGGTAAGGGGTGATTCATTAAGGATGGCACTTTGAAAATTTTTGGAAACTTCCTGGGTGAGAAATTACAGTAAATGTGAGGCTTCCTATTAAGCCTATGAGCAAGGATGATCCTAAACCCAAGTGTACCTTTCCCTGAGATGGAAGTAAATGTCCCTCACTTAAAATACAGACCAGAGAGTCTAGTAATGAAGGAATCAAGAAAAAGTAGGCAGAAAAATTGGGATACACACCTGCTACCGGCGTCCGCATGAACGTTCATTCTAAAGGAGAATTACTAAGTTAGAGGAAGAGTCTCATCAAGTAATTGGTGGACAGAGAGATACAAAGGAAATAGCTTCTGATACAGGTTAGCATTTGGCTAAGAAAACAAACAGATATCAACTTGAGCCCTTATTTCTCTTGTTGTCACATCTGGAGTGGACTGGCTGCAGAGCCACACACTCACCCATCCAGACTTCCCCAAACTGTCCAGCACCCAGCCTCTTCACCAACTTAATGGACTCCCACGGGATCTCCCAGGCATCTTTATCCCACGGCTTTTGTGGTTTGGGACTGATACATGCCTTCTCCAGTCTTCTGCACAAACCATCCGACTGCTCTAATTTGAAAGAGAAGAGAAAGGACAAAAAAGTCATACTTTTATGTTTTCCCGGTATCTTTGAGGAAGTTTTGACTATTAGTCTTATAATTTCCAATTTGCCAGAGTCTATGAACTCAAATGTTTATGGGGTTATCTTTTGTATAGTCATGACTTTGAAAGTCTTAAGTGAAACACAATTTAAAACATACTTGATTTTATTCATTAGCACTGCTAATCTATTTAAAACAAACAACACCAGTAGATAAAAGCTGACATGTTGTCACACTTAGTAAAATGTATTTTAGATTACTGAGCCCATGTAAGCACCTCAGGGCACAAAAATGTGGACTTGGTGATGTCACCAGGGACCCTCCAGCCCAGGAAGGCCAGAGAAACAGTAAACACTCACCACACATGCTCTAAGTGAATAGAGATGACAGAGAGGGAGGGAGGATGCCACAAAATCTGAGGTATATTGCTCTTTCCATATTTTAGGGTCTAAGCAAACTTGTAAGGGTGTATTCCCTTGGAGCAGGCTGTAGCTGTAAGCAGTAACAACTGCCCACTGCAACCAACTTTAATCACACTGGGAATGAACTGAACGGCTGGTCACAGGCCCAGTTTAACAGGCCGGTGGGTGGCACTGGAAATGGACCATGGACTTGCCACTTCTAAATATTTTTTTTTTGTTGTTATTTCTGTTTTCTTTTACCAAGAGTATGTATTACTTTTACATACACACACAGAGATCCGCAAATCTGTATTCCTATTCCAGATGTTTAAGATGTGTTGTAAAAACACATGTGATGTTAAAACAGTATTCATTTTTCTCTTCATAGCATTGGAGCATTAACTGTCCAGCAGCAAGGCCAGAGTGGGAAGGACTGGGATATGTATTCACAATGATCAAATCTGACTTTGTACATTTCAGTGTACATTAACTTGGAATTAATTTAGAGTATGATCCTTTGGTTTTTATGGTAAAGAAATGTGGCCTATAAAAAAGTTTAATGTAAGAAAGTGTTTGATATAATATATTTTCATAGTAAGTATTATGTTTTGTCCAGTCCTCAGTATTTACTTACTCTGGTAATGCTTAATGTGATTCGTGGAGAGATGTAATAACCCCCATTATCCAGACTTCTAATTTTGTAGTGCTTAATGACATCACCGTGCACAGGGTCATAATCTCTGACGGATAGAGAATAGCTTCCTGTGGGGGAAAAATACAAGTAAAGATCACGCTTGTATTTATAAATAAGATCTGGATTATACAACATTGCAGTACACACTTGGCCATAAAAATGTATAAAATATAAATTACGTATACAGTCCATAATTTTAAAAGTCCTATAAAAAGTCTACTTGACAAATGAAGCTAGCATTTTGTTTGCCATGAAGTTTACCAACATGCCATTTTCCTTCTTCATGATGATTATTATTTTACTAAACTGAAAAATTATTTGATTTTCTTTCTCTTAAGATGTCAGGGTTTAGCCGAAATAATAATGTAAGAGGCTCCGCAAACACAAAGCTGATAAGAAATGGCCATAATTGCTTTCTGTGTTACTTTTAGTAGCAGAATTAATCATTTCTGCTTATTTGTTATCAAACTATAAAAGTTCACTACCGGAACATAACATACATCCTTTTTACAAAGAATTCTAAGAGCGATTCCGTAAACAGTGCTTCAGTAAGAGGGCTTAAGCCACTTCCTACCTTTTAATGTTTCACTTTCTCTGATGAGAAAAGATCCAGCGCTGTTCCCTGGGGCCAGAAGCTGCCTTTCTGCATCTTTCCTGGTTATACCCTTGAAAAACCACCTGAGAAGACATTTTAACACTCCATGGGTGTTAGGTTCCAGGGAAGGAAAAAGACAAAGAATAAACAAAAAACTCCAACAGGGCAAACAAAACCATCAGAGGTGAGGACATGTAAGGACTCACTCTTCTGTTTCCAAGGTGTTGACTTTGGCTACATAGTTGCTGGGGATGAAGCCCTCTCTCTTTGTTGAAAGGGATTTGGCTTTCCACCACTCCCCATGCCTGGAAGAGAAACAGCATCAAAGTATCTGTATCCAGTGCCTCAGGAGCTACAACAGCAATTGTCTTAAGGTGTTTTGGGGAAAGAGTCCCAGAACCCCAGAATCCAGTGGCAACGTTCACTCCTCTTGCTGAAATAAAAACATGTTTAGAGACTGAAGCAAAGGGAAACAGTGCAGCCACAAGTGGGGTCCTTGTGCTCAGTGCTGCACTAAAAAGAGTTGGGGTGAAAATGGTCCCCAACTTGCAGAAGCAAAACATTTGTAATCCCCTCCCAGCATCGCTAAGAAATGCTTTAGGAAAGGGGAGTCGAGAGGATAATAAGCCATGGTCTGTATATTACAAAATACTATGTTAAAACCCCTAGTTTCTACAGATAAACACCACCGAAAGCCATGAAGCAATTCCCAGCAGGTGGGCCTCATCAGCATGTTCTGCTCCCACGTGGAGCAGGGGAGCTGGGGACAGTGAAGGAGGGAGGAATGGGTGGGTCCCTGTGCGCCTCAGCCATGTTCCCCTTCACATTCCCACAGGCAGACGGGATCCTTGTCTGCAGGACATAAGGACAGCTACAGCTGGCACCAAGCTGCCGCCCTCGGTGTGCCCCTCCTGCATTCACGCATACGCACAAACACATAACCCTCACATCAACCCCGTGACAGAAGCTTCGTGGTTCCCGTTTTATAAGTGAAGAAGCTGTACAGTCGAACTGACTTACCAAGGTCTCACAGCTATCAAGTGGCAGGGCCAGGACTAAGTCCGAGGTCACACTCAGCCAGTGACAGTCACTCTTACCTCAGCGATAACTGCTCTCAACTACGGAACGCCTTCTACTTACTCAGAGGTCTCCCTCCTCTACCCTGGTTGGCCGGCCAGGGTGACTATGCGTACGGTTAGTAGTAGCGAACTAGGATTCAGATACCTGAATTCCTCCTCCTCAGTACTGTTCTGAGCCCCGGTGGTCTGAGCAGAGCCACAGCTCTGTGAGTCCGCATGGAGAGGGTCAAGGAAATGATGTCTAAGCGTTTTCACAAAAGGGTTACAAGCTCTGAGTAGGGACTTTTCCAAAATGACTGCTGCTTCAGTCCAGTGCTCTTAAAACTCAAACCAGTCCGGCCCCATAAACCCAGTACAAATGTGAGGAATAGAGCTAAACAAAAAATGGCATTAAGATAGTGTGCAAATGCCACACAGACCCAAACTTTTTAAGATGGCACAGATGGACACAGAAAGAAACTGGTGTCTGTCTTCAAAGCACTCCTGGAGAGTGCTCACAGCCAGGCATATGAGGAAAATTCCTTCCGATCTACTCCTGCTGCTCCCGGAGCCCTGCTGGTCTCAAGAAGGTTGGGGGCCTCCTGCCCACCACCAGAGGGGGGTCTGGCTATAGCTGTGCCAAGGGAAGCAAAGAGGGGGAGGGCTGTCTGCAGGACTCGGGCCTGAGTAAGGGGAAGCGGGCACTGTGCCTAGTTGCACTTACTCCTCCAGGACCTTCATCCTCTCTCCTTTCTTGAAAGACAAGTCATCTGGATGGATGCCGTCATAGGGGTACAAGGCTACCACAATGTCTCCTTGCTCCTCTGGATCTAAAAATGAAGGATGGAAGCAAAGACCTTCAAGAATCCATCAGCAGAAGCATTTTAACAAAAGCTCATCAGGCACAAAAGGCAAGAGAAAGGCAACGGGAAGAACGATGTGGGCTTCCCTCCCAGTGGGGCTCAGGGCCGCCATGGTTGACAGGAAGTAGCACACTATCCATGCTGGGTACCGCGTTTGTTATCTTAAGTCATACAGACCGACAGCTATAGTTAATTCCAAGCCTATATTTAAGAAATGCTACAACGATGTTAAATTTCTGATGAAAGTCAACCCATAAAATCTCCAACTGTAAGGTTGGTGGGGCAAAGGGGATTACTACACTCCCTGGAATCAGGAAAGCTTGGGTCCATATTATCTTCAAATCTTATTTCAAGAAATTTTATACTGACTTCTAAATCATTTATATTTGCACAATTAGGTATATGATCAATTATAAATAATTTAGAGGAAATAATTGAGAAACCAGTTAAATCATTTTTAAGCAGCAAGCTGATTTTCAAATATCAAAGAGTCCTTAATTAATAAATATTTTAATATACTTTTTATAAGACCAAAACACATCTATGCAACTCATCTACCATAACTCTTTCTCCCTAAAATGTCCTTACAGCATTGTTGAATATGCATGGATTCAACTTCATCATCTCATCAGATCACCGCCTGGAGTCAATCCAGGGCATGCATTTTGGCACGTGTGGCACAGAGCGGAGAGTGTTATCCGCAGCCAGGAAACAAGGCGTTTATGACCATGGAAGACACAGACTGTACTATACCTGAGGGCATGGGAAAGTCTCAGCCATGTCTACTGCTTCTGCTTTCTGACCTCATCTTTAACCTCCTTTACTCTTAAGAAGATGAAAAATGATGTGGAAGTTTGACTCTTTTCCTTTGTTTTTCTGAATAAAGGACATCTTGGCTCATCATTAAAAACAAAGCAAAACAAAACAAAAACTTGGGTTTTAAAGCATGTAAAATCTATAGCATGTGATGCCAGAAAAGGTCAGATCCCATTTATGAGATCTTTGAAGTCTATAACAAAACTATTTGTGGCTTTATTTTCTTTTAATCATATTTAAGTAATACAGTTCTATATCTGTACCTGTTTATGTAATGTTTTAATATTATATTTATATATACTTGTTATCACTAAATTATTAAAGCTATTAATAATCTTACATATTTTGAGTTTCTGTATGTAAAATTACATTAATTTGTCTGCCTAAAAATATGTGTATAATTAATTAATAGCATAATGTATTTACTCTCCATCTCCTTTTCATAAGAAGGCCAGTGGTGAGTTATCAATTTCAATGACATGCAGTTATGACATATGTCACACCTGAAGGATAATGGGGAATGGTGGAGAGAGGGCTGGCAGAAGGACTTGATTATAGTAATGCACTTGTAGAAGGCCAAGGCATTTACAAGCATGACAGACTAGAGACACTGTGAAAACCCTTAATGGCATAGATGAAACTGGAATAAGCTGCATTCAGAGTAAGTGCTGAGGAATTCCCTAAAGAGCAGACTATAGGAAGATAAACCTATGTATAGTGAGAGAATAGATGGAAAGGATAGAAGATCTGAAATAAAGTACATTTAAGGTCGTAATTTTTCAAGTTTCTGTTTCTCTTTTCCATGAAATACAGTACAGTATTAATTCCTCTTTTGCCAAGCATTCCCCAAACACACCAAGGAGCACATCATTGATATAAAATTTCTGGTACAGATATTAGTCCAAGTTTAGGGAGCAGAATTAGCTGTGTTTTCTAAAATCTTTTAATGCTCTATAGAAACTCATGACAACTTCAGTATCGGTACTATTTTGAACTAATTGAATGTCAAGATGGGATAAAGTATGATATGCCAAAGGTCATATTAGCACCTATCTTGGCTTCTGACTTGAATCAAGCAATTCTTTCTGCTTCCAGACCACTGCACTGATCTCATTACTTATCCTAAGCCACACAAGCTCTGATAGATAAATATCTGTATGTATGAGTGGGTCTTTGCACCAGTGATATGAAAGATGATTGTTTTCACCTATAAAAAGGTGGACAAAGGCCCTTTTATTGTATAATAAGTGGCCTGGTTATCCCTAAACTGTTTACAAGCTCTTTAAAGGATTAAGTTATAAAGGCATTATCAAAAAATATTTGAGGCACAAGTAACTGATGTGATTTTTTTTGCATGCACATGTTCCAGATTTGGTGTTTAAATTATGCAGCCATTCTTTGATCCTGCTGTGGGAATTCTTTCCTGAGACTTACTGGCCTTTGCTGTTTATTGGACACTGGATCTCTCACATAAAGAGTTTGATCATTACCTAATATTTAAAGGATGAAGGAGGAAGAAAAAGGAGGGAAAAAAAGAACCTTTAGACTGTGTTTGTAATAGTATACTAAATGAGTTTAATTAGACTCAGATAGTAAGGGAATGACCCTGGAACCTTTGGTAACCATGAATCTAAAGCCTGCAATGGCAATAAGAACATACCTATCAATAATCACCCTAAATGTTTGAATGCACTAATCAAAAGACATAGAGTCACTGAATGGATAAAAAATAAAACCCATCTGTATGCTGCCTACAAGAGACTCACTTCAAACCCAAAGACATACACAGACTGAAAGTAAAGGGATGGAAAAATATATTTCATGCAACTAATAGGGAGAAAAAAAGAGGAGTTGCAGTACTTATATCAGACAAAATAGACTTCAGTAAATTAAAAAAGATTGAAATTGTACCAACAACCTTCTCAAAACACAAAGTTATGAAACTAGAAATAAATTACACAAAGAAAATGAAAAAGCCCACAAATACACAGAGGCTTAATAACATGCTCCTGAATAATCAATGGATCAGTGACCAAATAAAAATAGAGATCAAGCAATATATGGAGACAAATGACAACAATAATTCAATATCACAAAATCTATGGGATGCACCAAAGGCCATGCTAACAGGGAAATATATTGCATTACAGGCTTACCTCAGGAAAGAAGAACAATCCCATATAAGCAGTCTAAATTCACAATTAATGAAACTAGAAAAAGAAGAACAAATGAGGCCCAAAGTCAGTAGAAGGAGGGACATACTAAATATTAGAGCATAAATAAATAAAATTGAGGAGAAAAAAACAATACAAAGAATCAATGGAAGCAGGAGCTGGTCCTTGAGAAAATAAACAAAATAGATAACCCCCTAGCCAGACTTATCAAGAAAAAAGAGAGTGTACACACATAAACACAATCAGAAATGAGAAAGCAAAAATCACTATGGACACCACAGAAATACAAAGAATTTTTAGAGAATACTATGAAAAATTATACGCTAACAAACTGGATAATCTAGAAGAAATGGACAACTTTCTAGAAAAATACAACTTTCCAAGGCTGACACAAGAAGAAACAGAAAATCTGAGTAGACCAATTACCAGCAGGGAAATTGAACTGGTAATCAAAAAACTACCTAAGAACAAAACTCCTGGACCTGATGGTTTCACCACTGAATTTTATCAAACACTTACTGAAGACCTAATACCCATCCTCCTTAAAGTTTTCCAAAAAGTAGAATAGAAGGGAATACTTCCAAACTCATTCTTAAGGCCAGCATCACTCTACTACCAAAACCAGACAGACACCACAAAAAATGAAAATTACAGACCAATATCCCTGATGAACAGATGCAAAAATACTCAACAAAATATTAACAAACCAAATTCAAAAATACATAAAAAAGATCATCCATCATGGTCAAGTATGATTTATTCTAGGGCTGCAAGAATAGTACAACATTCAAAAATCCATCAACATCATCCACCAACATCAACAAAAAGAAGGACAAAAGCCACTGATCATCTCCATAGATGCTGAAAAACCATTCAACAAACTTCAACATCCATTCACAATAAAAACTCTCAACAAAATAGGTATAGAGGGCAAGTACCTCAACATAATAAAGACCATATGTGACAAACCCACAGCCAACACCATACTTAACAGCAAGAAGCTGAAAGCTTTTCTTTTAAGATCAGGAACAAGACACGGATGCCCACTCTTTCCACTTTTATTCATCATAGTTCTGGAGGTTCTAGCCATGGCAATCAGAAAACACAAAGAAATAAAAGGCATCCACATTGGCAAGGAAGCAGTTAAACTGTCCCTGTTTGCAAATGACATGATATTGTACATAAAAAACCCTAAAGAACCCACTCCCAAACTACTAGATCTAATATCTGAATTCAGCAAAGTGTGGGATACAAAATTTATACGCAGAAATCTGTTGCATTCCTATACACTAATAATGAACTAGTAGAAAGAGAAATCAGGAAAACAGTTCCATTCACAATTGCTTCAAAAAGAATAAAATACCTAGGAATAAACCTAATCAAGCAAGTGAAAGACCTATACTCTGAAATCTACAAGATACACATGAGAAAAATTAAATAAGTTACCAATAAATGGAAACACATCCCATGCTCTTGGCTAGGAAGAATTAATATTGTCAAAATGGTCATCCTGCCTAAAGCATTCTGTGGATTCAATGCAATCCCTATCAAAATACCAACAGCATTCTTCAACGAACAAGAGCAAATTGTTCTAAAATTCATATGAACCAAAAGAGAACCCAAGTAGCCAAAGCCATCCTCAGAAGGAAGAATAAAGCTGGGGCAATTATGCTCCCCAACTGCAAGCTCTACTACAAAGTCATGCTAATCAAGACAATTATGGTACTGGCACAACAAGAACAGACCCATAGACCAATGGAACAGACTAGATAGCCCAGATATAAACCCAAGCATATATGGCCAATTAATACATGGTAAAGTAGACATGGATATGCAATGGGGAAATGACAGCCTCTTCAACAGCTGGTGTTGGCAAAACTGGACAGCTACATGCAAGGGAATGAAACTGGATTATTGTGTAACCCCATAGACAAAAATAAAATCAAATTAGATTAAAGACCTGAATATAAGTCATGAAACCATAAAATTCTTAGAAGACAACATAGGCAAAAATCTATTGAGCATAAACACGATTGTCTTTTTCCTGAACACATCTCCTCGGGCAAGGGAAACAAAATAAAAAATGAACAAATGGGACTACCTGATGCTAAAAAGCTTCTGTACAGCAAAGGACACCATTAGCAGAACAAAAAGGCATCCTACAGTATGGGAGAATGTATTTGTAAATGACATATCTGACAAGGGGTTAACATCAAATATAAAGAATTCACATGCCTCAACACCCAAAAAGCAAATAAGCCTATTAACAAATGGGCGGATGATATAAACAGACACTTCTACAAAGAAGAAATTCAGATGGCCAACAGGCACATGAAAAGATGCTCCACATCGTTAATTATCAGGGAAATGCAAATTTAAACCACAATGAGGTATCACCTCATACCAGTTAGGATGGCCAACACAGAGTAGACTGGAAACAAATGCTGGTGAGGATGCAGAGAAAGGGCCACCCTACTACACTACTGGTGGGAATGTAAACTAGTTCAACCATTGTGAGAAGCAATACGGAGGTTCCTCAAATAAGTAAAAATAAGAATACCATTTGATCCGGGAATCCCACTCTTAGGAATTTACCAAAAGAATACACCTTCTCAGATTAAAAAAGACAAATAGCAGCACTATTTACAATAGCCAAGATAAGGAACAACCCTAAGTGTCCATCAGTAGAAGAACTGACAAAGATGTGGTATATATACACAATGGAATACTCTTCTGCCATAAGAAAGAAACAAATCCTACCATTTCCAAAAACATGGATGGAGCTAGAGGGTATTATGCTCAGTGAAATAAGTCACGCAGAGAAAGACAAATACCAAATGATTTCCTTCATTTGTGGAGCATAACAAGGAAGCAAAACTGAAGGAACAAAATAGCAGCAGACTCACAAACTCCAAGAAGGGACTGGTGGTTACCAAAGGGGAGGGGTGGGGGAAGGCGAGTGGGGAGGGAGGGAGAAGGGGATTGTGGGGTATCATGATTGGTGCACATGGTCTGTGTGGGGTCACAGGGAAAACAGTGTAGCTCAGAGGAGACAAATAGGGACTCTGGGACATCTTACTACACTGATGGACAACGACTGCAATGGGGTATGGGGGGGACTTGATAATAAAGGTGAATGTAATAACCACATTGGCTTTCTTGTGAAACCTTCATACGAGTGTGTATCAATGATACCTTAATAAAAAAATGAAAAGTAAAATAAAAATTAGTTCCATCAGTATTATGTACTGGTTGAGTATTCAGATCTATTCCATCATCATTCAGATTGTCTTTCCTTTTTGATTTTATACATCCCATATTTCCTGTTGGAATATAAAAGCAATGACACTGTTTTACCTTTCTAGAATTGGCTTGAAGCCACCAAACTTTCTCCATTAATAAAGAATAAAACAATATACTTTTACCCATTAGCATAGTTTAACAAATTCAAAACTTGATTTTGTTTACAAACCAGTTTGCTTGTTGATTCATTTGCTCATTCATTCATTCAGCAACTATTTACTGAGCATCAATTTTATGTCACCAGGACATAATTCTTGTGGAAAGATGTGTGAATTAAAATTACAGTACAGTGTAGATAGTCAGAGATAGTGGGTGCACAGGACCTAGGAAAGGACATCTAACTCAGGCAAGAGGAAAGGATGTGGTCAAGGGTTGCATCCAGAAGGGAACACTGAGTCCAATGGGAGGGCCCAGGTGCAAAGGCAGTAAAGGGTTTCCAGGAAGAAGGAACTTCACTGCAAAGTACTGAACTTGAGATGACATAGCCTTTTGAGGGAACTCATTCAAGCTGATCCTTTCAGGGCATTAGTTCTATAATGCAAATCCCTTTAGCCAAGGAGCAGGAAGGGGTGGCCAGGAGTGGATGGACAGGGGGCACACCCTGGGTGCAATGCTGTTTTTCTTTACCCTGGACTAATG